ACTCAAATATTTCCAAATAGTACTTCAGGCTTCTGACTCTGGACCCATAGTTATATAGATAGGTGTTTGAACGATTCATGATTCAGGGCACCAAATGCAGCAGATGGTACAACGGTTTATTGCCGACACGTTTCGCTACATGGACCGTGGCATGATCAGGGGTAAGCTCAGTACAAATGACTGCTTGAAGGTTCCTATGTCCAACAACCGAACATTACTTTACAACCAAAATGTTATTAAACTGACTGGTCAGAATGTTAACCAACAAATGTGTGAAGTTCTCATTGAAACAGCCGGATCAGTTTTGCAATCGCCCCCCCCCTGGTTTCACTAATAACCATAGATGTGTATTCATTGCACATCCGGTTTCTCATTGCCAGTATATGCAAAGACTCCCTTATTAGTAGACCTAATTTAGATTTGTCTTTGTCTATGACAGACACATTGGTCTGACTGGAAGAATGCCGTTCAACGTTGGGCAATACCGGAATTGTCAGTCTGTCAAAAGCGGACTGCAGAAAGGTGTTATTTTATGCTGATGATCAATTTCCGGTTGAACTTTCCAATGTACACTTTGTCGCAGTCTCTGCACTGAACTTTGTTAACAACATTTGGTACATCTTCAGGGTTATTAACGAGCAAGTACCTTTTAAATAAGCTGCCACCCAAGTTTAGTGTCTACTAAACTGCATGTGATTGAATTACCTCGTGACACCATGAAATTCCTGGTGTATGAACGGTAGAAATGGGCATCTTTAAGTTTGAGCTGGGGTGCCGGAGAACGGTAACCGTTCTATAGAAACGCTTGGAGAAGATGTTGGATTTCCGCGTTTAGGTTCGAACTGTTAGCGCAGGTCTCATGGGCTCGCAAACGCATCTTCTTCACCAGAGGGACACGTGATGCTGGCTGTAGGTAACGGTTGGAGTGTGTTGTTTTCCTATATACGGAAATATTAATTTCACACGTTGGAGTCCTCTTCACCAGTACGTCGGGAAAAGATATGGAGTGCAACTTTCCCTTCAGTGGTAAATCGTATTCGGCCATTTTAATCTTGTCCATTCGTGTAATTCACAAAATATTTCAGCGTTTTCAGTTCGTCCTCATTTCGTTGAAATAATGGGAAAATGTCGCTGACGATTCAAACATAGTACAATGGTCAGAATTCTGGCTGGCACTCATTAAGGGCTTTTACCTCCAGGTGGTCTATAGAAGATCAGTTAAAACAACACTCACCCGGCAGCCATCGGAAAACCGTACGTCTGGTGGTAGGTATTGTTCGCGTATTTGATTCTAATGCCATTCATGACAAGGCCGAAGATTGTCATTAATTCATCCACCATGCAATTCCTTAAAATGTTCTTCACTCGTTCATTGTGCTTTACAAGATGATGGGTAGAATATTGACCAACGTGTTATTATTCATATTCCTCTTCATCTTCCATGGCCGCTTCTCCTTCCGGGTCGCGGAGGCAGACGCGTCAGACAGAGCTTCCAACATTCCCGATCCTGTGCCAGAGTCTGAGCTTCGGCAGAAAACATCTGAAGTCAGGAACAAACTCCTGGTTAATCTCGGCCGTCCCTGGGTCTTCAACCAGTCGGTTAGGCAAGAAACAGGTGCTCGCCTTCCTTTCTGGAGGCGTGCTAGAATTCATTTTATTGAAAATGGCCGTGGCGTCTAACCAAGACATAAAGCAACCTTGAAGATCATATTCCTTCAGTTTGCATGGAAACTCCTTTCTGTCATTTATTGTGTACGTCATCTTCTTAACGGCAAAGGCATTTTTTCCTTGCCAATCCGGTATCATTATTTTTATGGTTATATATTCATTAGCGGTATCGAAAGCACCCTCCCCCAAGAGCTACGAGGATTATCACTAGTTCGCCTACGCATCGTGGCAATGTTCTTCGTTGAATACACTTTTGTTCAACCCGAGAATGAGACGCGGCCCTGCGTCCTACGCACATAAATACCATGCACCCGTGACCTGCGTCAATGGTCCCCTTAGGTGACTCGAAGCACGTGGACGATGCAACAGTGCTGTTGGTGTAAAGTGAGAAATTGAATCGTCCTTTTTCACACTGTGCATTTCTATCGCTTAAATAGGCTATCATTATTTTAAATGTAATAAACTGTTGCAGCACCTGCTATATTTGGTGTCCTGAGCAAAGAATCGTTCAAACACCTTTCTATAAAATATTTACACATCGTAAATGACGATGGGACAAGGTTTCGGAATTTGGTTTCCAAGTTTACTGTTATAAGTAGATGAACTGGCAAGTCTCATGACGTGGCTTGAGATGAATGAAGGCTTGAAATTCCAGCCGAAGGCTGATTACCTCAAAACGGAAAATCTCTGTGCATAAATATTTACAAGTTAACAAAATCCAATCGTTATTCATGTTTTTCACGATGTCAAGTTTCGCTGGATTGCTTCTATATTGTTTTCAATGTACCTAATGAAATGCGTAGAACTTGTGAATCCTTGTGTGAAGCAACTCAGCGCTCTCATGTACATGCTGTTGACAATAAACATTGCAGAATTAGGCAAAAACTCAGATCCATTATAAATAAACAATGCCAATGAGTTTTAACATCACTGTCAAGTGTAGCAATGGGTCTTGATAATTTAAATAATTATCCAAGACTCTGTTTGACTTTCATCAAATCTCAGAGATCTTGTGCCTCCGAACATCAAAACAGTTGCCTCTGTGAATGTTCGAAGAGTGAGTGACAAACATTATAAATCGTTATAAATCTACCTCTAAAACTGTTTTCACAGAAACGGCAAAATCAAAATTTAATGGCCTGTTGTCTCTCTGTCAGTAAAAAACTGCGCTGAATTAGTTCTGGACTTTAAGACCTCGTAACCTTTAAAAATCTTCCATGAAACACTGGTAGAAACGTAGGTAGCAGCCAATAATCCAACTGACCAACTGTTTGAACGTTTAGAACATGAAAACCATAGGATGAATCAGACAAATCATCAGATATTCTCTCTTAATCTAGAGTTAAATCTATGAATGACAAAATAAGGCGAAAGATTAGTCGGCCAAAACAGCCACATCATTAGCCTGCCATGGTCATTAACAACATACTAATGATAGAATGTAAATTGCAATGAGTTTGGCACCGCTAGAATTGAAATTAAGCAAACACTACGACGAAAAAATTAAAAGTGTTTACTTTTGGTGAACAGACTGTATAAAAATGATACCTCTATCTCATTCTTACTGATTTTATCGAAAATTAATATTTTGAGTCAAACCCAGAATGCCAAGGTTATTTTTGTAACAATGAACCATAATATAGCATATTCAAAATATTCGAAAGCTGAAAACAACATAAAACACTCGAAAAAGGTCTGCTGGCTCCAAGTGTACGAATGGGTACAGAGGAACTTCAAAGAACAACAGTCTCGCCTCTTTGAAGAAGGTCGATCGAAACGTCTGTAACAGTGAATCATCCAATAGGCTAAATTGTTTGCGTTGTGTATAAACAGAACTTGCTTTATGCTGTTTTCAGGTCACCACCAAAGCACGAATCAGATTCTTAATCTTAGCATAAGAAAGCTATGGGCAAAATATACAAATAAAAATGCGTTTTACACCATGGTCTGATTATTCTGTTTAGTCAGGTATCAGGTTGAATAAAGCTAACTGCAGCCCTAAGACATGAGCCTCAAGCAGCAATACCGTAAGGTGTTACACGCCCTTGTGCCAGGCCAATCGTAGCGAAGGCTGGCCAGCGACTTTGCCACCATGAATTCCTTGCTACCGGAGATTAACAGCTGTTAGTGGAAGTCATCCCGTGATGTACTGAAACATTCGATTGATCTGCAGATCTTCGATCAGCACTTGCACATGTTATTCGTGCAAATGATATACCATGAAAAGCGTCTTGACAAATGAGAGCATGGACTAACGAATACTGCGAATCTTTCAACTACAGCAGGTCCTTTGAACCACCTAATCGTATAAATCCAGTTAATTGATCTTACAACGATTGTCCATTCAACGTTGGCTGATCAAGAGTACAAAAGAGCAAGATGATGGCAAACTTTACAAAAGGAACAGCAAGTTTCTGCAGCGAAAGTTACTGCAACGCTGAAGCGAAAGTAAACGTTTGGACTAGAGATAAAAGAGACCCTGGTCAAGAGACGTTAAATATGGAAAGTACTAAACACAGCTAATGCCATAATGATTTTGAAGAATCAAAGAAAAATGCGTTATGCGAAATAGCCATCGTTCCACCGAACATTCTCTGAAAGCAATATTAATTGGCTGTTCATATAAATGAACTAGTCAAAGAAATTCTCTACAAGATTCTTCCAGAGAATTAAATAAGTTGACACTTCATTGGCGAAAAAGCAGATGGCAGTCTACCATAATTGCCGACTTTTCAGCCAACCGAAATTGGTAATCTCCAGGGCAAACAATGAGATTGAGAAAGTCTAGCAGGCGCGCCCAAAGTGACATACAATTATGAAAGGAGGTACAAGCGTCCTACCGTCTCCAACTCGCTGTTTGCCTCGAGTATGACCCATGTAGTTTGGCTAAAACGTAAGCAGATTTAGTACAAGCTACAGTCCGTCTGTTCTGCTGTGTTTGGAAGTATTGAAGAAGCAGTTGGTAGAGGAAGAAAGCAAAGAATGGTAACAAGTTCAGAAATCGTTCAGAGAATTTGTTCCAGTGCCCGATGCAGCACTCAAGCTATGGCCTGGGTAAAGAAACAGAAACGCGGAACTTGCGAAAGGATGAGGATGAGATGAACGATTTCACATCCATCTTTCCACAACAAATCATACGGCTGTTTAAAGTGAATCTGCGAGACTTCGATCAGTCGGTTTTAGCCTCGTCGACTGGAGCCGATTGGCTCCAAGACTTTGGTAATTATCACGCACCAGGGAGTCATAAAAACTGCTGAATCACTCAATAGCCGATGGCCTATGAAATTTGACTACCGACGTGGTAGATGGCCACACAAAAACGTGATCGATATCCGAATGTTGTAACTTACACGATAGATCTCCGAGTACTCGACCGATGCCATCGAACGATCAGAGTTGACGCCGCTGCTGTCGGAGGAGTTATAAAACGGACAGATGATGTTCACACGGTCGCCAATGTTCAGGCTGAACTTGAGCGCCGTCTGACCGTCTTGAAACCTGAAAGATTTACCGTTACTAGCTGCTAATTACAAAGCTTCGTTTATCTTAATCATTAAGTAACAAATTCAACATTACAAAATAACATACTTGTCGGCATACCCTTGACGAGAAATTAGCATAGAAAAATAAGCAATTTAACAGATTGTTTCATTACACGACGTTGAGATGTTAAAAGGTGCTTACACCTCGCAATGACAGCCCAAAAAGTTTTTTTTTCTTGAAACTGTATAAAAAGTCTTAACGGTCACTCAGGCAAAGGCAAAGAGGCATGGTGCTGAAACTCAGCGCGTGAATTTCATGAGTTCAGGAAAACCGGAAAACGATACCTTCCCAAATTCAACCTGTGATAATTACAGTACATTTAAGCTTTGAACTGTCCATTCACTTATTTTGCCTCTTAAGTTTGGCGTACGTTTCTGCCGTTCAGCTCTTACAAGGACTTTGGGAACTACGTTACCCATTTCTGCGGATACCGTATCTCCAGTTGGCCGTTAATCAAGGAAAGACTGTATGCAAACCTTGTGCACCTATCCGTTGCACAAATCCAAGATCAAAACCTGACATAAAGACTAAATTTTAAGTTCTTTAAGACTAAGGCATTTATTGAGTGATTGGTCGGTCTGAGCCATTTGCATACACAGAATACCTCTGCTTTCTGGTGTCTTTTCAATTCCCTCCTTTGCAGCACTTGCTGTAAAGCACAGCTTACTGTGCGGTAAACGGAACATAATAAAAGAAGATCTGCCTTTACTTCATTCTTCCATATTGCATGTTGACCTCCTGACCGGCATTTGCCAGCTCTAAAACGAGATGCTCATGATCTGTGTAACAGTGCCACAGCTGCCGTTTTTTATTGTTCATATAAAAAACACAGTGAGATCATCTTTATCCTGAAGAGAGCAAAGTCATCCTTATTTAATGCTGCGATTTAACCCTCTCTATGCTCAAGGCCAAATGTGCTTTACAAAATCCAACAGTCATTCTCGACCCTCGTTAAAACAAATGTATGCATGCTGTATAACGACGCACCTGATCAAAGTGAGGTAGCAGGGATTTTGGAGTAAGAAGTTACTTCTTTCTCAACACAAATTTTAGGAAAGGTTACTAAACTTCATCAAGCTAATATAACACTCACATTTAACTGTCACTCGATAAAGCCGTGTCGTTGCTGACGACGATGGAACGAAGGTGCTTCAAACCAATGTATCAAATGACTACGGCTGGCTTTTGGATGTTTTGGCTGATTTTTGACTATTACTGTAGCGAAAACATATCGAGCATTAATAATGGGTATGGACATCATGCATTGAGCATCAGTATAGATAAAGTTTTATGAAGGCAAGAAACAGGTCATAAATTATTTGAAGGGTTTAAATTAATATTTAAAAAATGAGCCAGATGAATGTTGAAGCGAGACAATCAAAAGTTACCTCGATTCAGAATTCTAACTCAAATTAACGCCCATCAGCAGTGCTTATCAATCAGTTTCAGTTTCGAAAGCCACCTATCCTTTTGGTCGCGGAGGCAGCAGCGTCAGACAGTGTTTACAACATTCGCCGTCCTGCACCAGACTCTGAGTTTCAACAGGAGATAAATCCATTCTGGAGTAGAATCCGTCGAGGCATTTAGATCTCTCTCCTTCCTATCTGGAAGCATTCGCGAAACGTCTCCATTCCATAACAGATGTTTCTACTAGAGAAACTGCGGCTGTACACCAAGGCGTACTCGAATATGCGAAGTCCGTTTGCTGTCAAGAAGGGTGTCCAGATCGATTCGTTTCAGAAGACCCATTTCAGCCCTCTGACCCATGATTGCAGTTGTTTAGTCACGTCATAACAAAAAGTCATAAAAGTCATAACCATAGGTAAAAATGGGGATGTAAATTGGCATAAATACAGATATGTATTCTCCACATAAATGTCGGAGAACGCTGTTAAACAACTCAAATTTCCAATTGATCTCTTCCTCCCGTTTTAAATCGCTAGTAAACACTACCCAGAGATACGTGAATTTGTTCACCACCTATTCCACAGCTCTTCTGCTTAGCCGCGGAACAAACCGGCAGGAGAACGAGAAGGCGCTAAGCTATAGGTTTGAGCCACGTCACACTCGGTTGCAAACCTTTCCAGAAGGCACTGGAGATATTTTATAGAAGATACCGATAGACAGGGTGGTCTTCGAGCAGCAAACGTCAATCAGCAGTGGTCACTGAATTGCGGAATTTGTAAAGCGGTCAACCGTTTCGGTCACTTGTTTAGTAACTGCTGAGTTCTACTCTGAGCATCCTACGAGTTTTCAGGAAGACTCACACTTTGCGTTATAAAAGTGACTAAGGAATGGTTCACTGACAAGAGTATTTTATACTGCTTTGCTAATGAAATTCTCATTTTGTCAAGACCTCAAATTGCCATTGTGAATTTTGCGTAAAATATGGACAAAAAGTACAGAATAATACGGCAAAATTCTAGGCCATATGCGTTGAAATTTGCTACATACACAACCATATAATGTAAGTACGAATATTTTATGCAAGGTGAAGCAGTGAGTCGAATGAATTCGTTGAGGTGATACGCGACTAGGTGCGTTAAGTGATATTCATTCGACTGGAAGCAAACAGATCAGCTCATGCATCCAGTTAGTTGTTGAATTAGGCTTCTAGTGCCGGGAACTTGTAAATGTCCTGCAGTACTCCCTTGGCAAGAATTTAATATCCGGCTCTCTCTGCCAAGGTTGGTCTGAAAATTTTCCTTACTGTTTTCCCAGAAAAATCCTAGCCTCATTTGGGTGACCACTGCTGCACTCATTCCTCGCGTCCATGCCTGAAAGCTCAGATTACACGACTACCCCCCCCCCGCTCCATCACGTTCTCTAGGCACAAAGCCGGCTGTCGGTGGCGT